TGCTGCAGGCCGTCAAGATCCTCTGAGACGGCCTCCAATGCCACTTGAACAAAAGAGGGGTCCTCACGTGGGTGCTGCGGCCCCGCAGTGGAGTGCCTGTGGTTGGGACCTGCAGCCCTTGGGGGGCCAGTGCTGGCCTGGGTCTCCCTGAAGGATGGGACTGGCACGGGGAGGCACTCCCCGCAGCGTGGCTCCCCGGGAAGGGATCCAAGACCGTGGAGGGCTGTGCAGCCCAAGGGGCAGCGTTGGGGTGGTGAGGGGAGGAAGGTGCTGCAGGACTGGCAGGACTGTGGGTTTGGGTCTGTCCCTATTGCTTTTTTGTTGTGGGAAAAACATCCTTCCGACCGTCCCCTTCCCCTCCAGCACGGGTCCTTCCCTCGGATGCTGCCTCTCCCTGCATCTCCAGCATCCCCGGTCACTGGTGTCTGTGCAGAGCCCCAGCCCTGCCCCGGGCCTGGTTGTGTATGTGTGTGAGTGGGCTGAGAGCTGTGAAAATAAAGTGCTCAGGGCTGCTCCAAGGCCTGCAGTGCTTTGCTAGGCTTATTTCTGGAGCGCCCAGCACCCCTGGAAAAGGTACGGTCACTGCCACTCCTCACAGGCATGTCCTGGGGGCAGGCAGCTGCCCCTTGACCCCACTGCCCCCTTCCCACTCGCCTTCCCCAAATTGGACCCCACCATGTGCCTGCCCCTCTTCTGCATCTTTCCAGCCACCACCACTGTGACCTGGGACCTGTGACCCCCCCTGGGCCCCCAACCCTTCTTGTCCCCCCTGGGCCAGTAGGGACCCAGCCCTGTGCTCGGGCCCCTGGGGACACCAACCCGCTCACCCAGCTGGAGTAGATCAGCCTTCCTGCAGGATGAAAAGGCAGCAGGAAAATACCCATCGGGGTGTTCCCATGGCACCCCATTCTCGCCCAGGTGGCTCATTTTGTCTCTCCCAAGGGTTTCAAAGCCTGGTCGCTCCCTGCGAGGTTTAGCTGAAGAGCTGACCTGTGCATCCTGGCTGGTTACAGAGCAGCTGACCCCCTGGTGCTCCCACATTCATCAGAAGTAATTTTGGGGGGGCTTATCTTTCTCCCCTGCAACAGCTGGTACCAAAATGAGTCTGAGACATGGTAGCAAAATGACCAGCTTGCAGACATCAAGGTGACAACCTGCTCGGGCACCGTGATGCTTTGCCAATGACCCCACACCCTCACCCCACGCTCCCTTCTGCCACTGGCACCCGGAGCGAGGACATCTTTCTGGCAGTTGCTTCCCAAAGCAAACCCTTCCCAGCCACCTTTCCACAGCCCAGGGTGGTAAAAGCAGCTCCGGGAGGGATGTGATGCAGCTGCTGGTATGGAGGCAACAGCAGCCGCATCTCAGCATCACTGTCGGAGCTGTCTTGCCAGCTTTGCAGCTCACCCACCCTGTCCCACCAGGGTGTTGGTGGGCTGCTGCTCATCAGCCTCTCCTTCCTCGGCAGGACCCGGTTCTCCTCCACCTGCAGGAAATCCTTCTTCGTTTGGAAAGCCGACTGAGAGGTTCCGTGAGCCCAAGGTTTGCAGTTCCCCAGCCCTGCGGGGGCCATGGGAAGGGCACCCCAAGGGCTCTTGCCCCCTGAACTGGTGGGGACCACAGCCACTGTGCCAATGCAGCAGATGGGGCTGTTTGTCCCCGGGAGGCCCTATGCCAGCCGTGCCGACAGCAAGCACATCCCTCTGATCGGCAACTGCGGCTATATTTTAATTTGCCAGCAGTTTCTGCTTTGGAAACCGCTCTGTTCAGATCCCTTCTCTGATGCTCCCTGCCTTATTCCCCTTCACACAAAGGGACAAATTGGTGCCCTACTTTCTCCCTGGGCTGGCCTGCTTCTACGCAGAGGGAGCAGATGCTTTTTTTAAATAAGTGTTTTTGATGGTTCCCAGGCACTGGAGAGCAGGGCTGGCCTGCTCCCGGCCTCAGATAAAGGATGGCAGCGTGGGCACGCGCCCTCCGTACATTGCTCACCACCCAGTCGCTCCTCTGTGCTGTAGTGTGTTTGGGGCAGCAACACTGGTTGTCGCTGGTCAACGGGAGAGACAAGGCTGGAGCTTGAGCTGGGTGGAAGTCTGCCTGCCCCCGTGCAGTTAGTTTCTAAAGCTCCTCTGTGATGAGCACTTTTTTGAAAGATATCTATTATCCATCCAGCTTAGCGTGGTAAATTTCTCAACTGGATCAGCAGTGCTGCATTTAGTCTATTTTTAACTTAGTTTTCAATTCTTAACATAATTCCAATGATATAGGTTTGTGTGTGCCCTTTATTTTACCGAAACCATCTCCTTTTCTTCCCCAGGAGCTCATACAAAGGCTGTGTTTATCCCTCCCTTGTCCAGTTCTGCCTTTCTGTTGTGCTTCCTAATCGCTGCGTAATGCCACATCCTGGTGGAAAAACAAAAGCCATCTATTAGAAACAAGTTAAGGATGAAATCTTAGTTCATTGCAGCTGTCCTTGCAGCTACTGATAGCCCAAGTTCGGTCTGGAAATACATTTCAGCCGGACAATTGGCAAATTACGAATGCTGCAAATACCTGAAATCCTCTGCAGGTAAAATGCTCCAAGGCTGGAATAATTGATGCGTAGTAAATATTTCTCTCCTGGCAGCCAAAATATGCAGCTACTGTACATGTTTGGCAACTGTGTTTCTGTTGAGTTTTTTGGCAAGGTACTCATGTTTACATCCCTTACTCCTCACTTCCTTCCTTTGCAGCGTAGGCACGCTGTAAGCGGTGGGATAGAAACAAGCACTGCTGTCACTTAGCAACCTCCACTGGCTTTGAGATACTGACTTTTTTCCTTTCTGGATTTCCCAGCACAAAAAGAGACGGCCACGTAACTCATCGCCTGGCTCAGGCATGAGGCTGTAGCCAGCTGGGGATGCTTTCGTCTGGTCCAGCCCGAATCCCTCTCGGAGCATCGCATCCGTGTCCTGCTGCCACTCCAGTGAGCGAGGCACTGGGAGCTTGATGGGTCAGCCCTGGGTTTCGTGATCTTGGGTGGAGGGATGCAGCTGGTCCTGCCCAGCCATGGAGGCTCTTTGGCCCATAGTGACTCTGTGGCCAGGCAGCTGGCAGGACAGCGAAGCTACGAGGCAGGCAGCGGTGGGGTGCCACACATATACTCCATAAGGTATAACCTCCTTAGGTGTCACAGCCCAGATCCAGGCTCTGCAGGAGGACTGGAGGTGGCTGGGCTCTTGGGAAGAGGGTGGGGGTGGATGAAGGACATACTGTCACCAGCTGACAGTACGTCAAGCAGCTGGGAGAGATTTTGCAGTAATAAAAGCTGCAGGGACTGAGTGCTGAGATTGATTCCATCCAGCTGGGAAGAGCTCTGCTGGGGTGAGCCTGGTCCTGCTGGCTGGGGATGCTGCTGCTGCTGGGACACGGCAGGGTCACTGCGCAGCCACGTCCCAGAGGGTGGAAGTGCCTGGGAAGTGTTTTGTCCATAAATTCTTCCCTTGTGGAAGCACTGGGCTTGCCTGGCTTTGTGACCAAGGAAGCAGGCGTGCTGCCAGGCTGCAGCGAGGGAGTACGGCTCTTTCCTGGGGTGCTCAGGGCTGCAGGGAAACATCTCTGCGGGCTGCAAAGCAGCATGGTGGCCTTTTTCTACCCTGCAACTGGATGCATCCGACTAAAGGATGCAGCTGGAGATCACAGGGCAGCAGAGAGGCCACCACGCTGGACAGGACAGGGATTGGGCTGTCACTGTCCTGTGATCCGTGAGTCAGCAGTGCCACAGGCTGCGGGAGAGAGGCAGAAAACCCTTCCTCTTTATAGGGGGAAATGCTGCAGCCACTACTTCTAATCACAACTCTGCAGCCTCTCTGGCTTTCTTTCACTGGCTTTAATTCTATCCTTTGCTGCTTCAAGGTCTGAGCTCTCCTCCTGGCAGATACGCAGGCAAAATGCTGACGGGCAGGTTCATGCCAGCGCTGCGGAGCCAAGTGCTGCTGAGAACCTGGGAGCTCCCCCGTGCATGGGGCTCCTTGCCCACACCTCCTCCTGCTTTGTGCCCATCAGCTGTCTGAAAAGCTCTGCAAGACTCTGGGTTTGTATCTGAACCAAGAAGGAGGTGAGGAAGGTCCCTGGAGAGAAGATCAGGAGTGAAGGAGCCTGCCTCTTCTAAATGCTTCCTGGGGGCGAGGACGCGGCCTCGTCTGTGCTCTGCTCCCCCCGGGGTCCTGCCTGCTCTCCAGGCAGGGGAGCGTGCCTGGCTCTTCACTGCAGGCATCTGCAAATCTCTGTAGTAGTTTATATATAACCCATTTTTCATGAGGGGAATTGCACTGGTGTGTGTTTATAAAGCAGCCTGGGGACCTGATCCAAATGTCCTCAGTTTTAATGTCACGCTGCCTGGTTAGGAAGAAGTGTCTGTGGGTAAGTTTCTGGGCTGAAATGCTGCAGCTGAGCCCTGAAACCAGACTATTTTTGCCTTATATTTTTCTGGAGGTCAGGGCAGGACAAACTTGCTGTCCGTAGGCTTGATCTGAAATGCACCAGAGGCTTTGGCAGGGCTGGGGACCCCAGGCAGGCTGCGCTGGAGCTGGTGACATCTGGAAGCGAGCAGACTGCGCTGACGGAGTCAATGGTGCCGGCGGGGCCAGCGTGACACCCTGGGGAGCAGGGCCGTGCCGGGGAGAGGTGGTCGGCAAAAGTCTTTTCTCCTTGCCAAGCCTGTCACGTGGCAAAAGGAAATGATAAATACTGTGGGGCACAACTGAGCGCAGGGTAAAAATAGAGCGTGTTTAGCTGGCTAACCAGTGAGCGACGCAGCTCTGTGCTCCTGGGGATCGCACCTCGGGTGCCCCAAGAAAACAGTTTCTTGCATGGCCCTCTGATGCTGGTTTGGGTCTTTTTTTCCCAAGTTATTCATTACAAGAAGCTTTGCGATGGTCTCTGCTAGTACTACCCCAGTTTCCTTTAA